GAGTAATGTGGAAATCATCTGCCCCACAGGTAGGGGGAGGGTGTGGCATCGGGGATATGCTGGGGTTTTTGGTGGTCGAAAATGGGCACTGGTGAAGGGACAGGTGTTTCATCATTGTATGACCGAGACCTAAACCTGAAAGCTTTGTTACTGCTCTCATGGTTATTCAATAAATAAATTTATAAAAAAGAAAGAAAAAAAAGTAAGATGGAGTTCATGCCCAATTCAATCAGCCTAATCAATGGCTGAATAAATAGCAATACTCCTACATTAAAAAAGAAGATAAAAATATTGGAGGATTAGTATCTAGATGAAATTTAACAAGAAAGGAAGAAGGAAATAAAACCAATAGAAAAAGAAAAAAGAAATAGAAGAAAGGATGATGGGGAAACTCTTGGATTTTTATCTTGGTATGTAACTCTACTTTGAGTAGCATCTGCTTAGTTCCTCTCCTACATTTTTTATTGTGTTTTTTATATTTTTAAGTTTTACAAGTGCTTTATATATGCTTAATTTTTACTCATTGCCAGATGAATAGTGAGCAAATACACAGGGTCAATCTGTACAATATCTTTTGATTCTAGTCAGTGTTTCTTTTTTAATGAGATGCTTATTAATTTGATGTGATCCTATTTATTTATTTATTTATTCATTTTTTCACCTTGTTTTGCCTGGTCAATGACAGTGAGTATTGTAAATGCCTCCAGATTCAATGTAATGAAGAGTTCTGCCTATACTTTCGTGAATTCAATGTGTGGGTTCGGGTCTGATAACAATATATTTAATCCATTTAATAGATTTTTGTGTATGCTGTGAGATGGGGGTCTGAGTTCGTTTTCTTGCATGTGGCTGACCAGTCTTTCCCCACCATTTGTTGAATAGTCTTTCCTTGCTCCACTTCATATAACTAGATCCTTCATCAAAGATTAGCTATCTACTTACACAAGTCTGTCTCTGGACTCTCAATCCTCTTCTATTGGTCTGATAGTCTGTCTTTATTTTAGGTCCACACAGCCTTGGTTACTATAGCTTAATAATTTCCAGTCAGGATAGATAATAACTTTCATCTTCTTTTACTAAAAATTTCATTGGATAAACAGAGTTTCATAATTTCATACGAAGCTGAGTAACATTTGCTCTGCATCCTTGAAGAATGCCATTGATATTTTAACAACACTTTGAATAGAATATATATTTTGACGATATTAGTTTTTCTAATTCCTGAATGTGAATTGTTTCTACTTCCAGTGTTATCTTTTATTTCTTTCATTAGTGACTTGTTTTCCACGTAGAAGTCTTTCACATCATTTTTAATGTTGATTCCTAGGTCCTTAAGATTTTTTAATGCTATTTGAAATAAAATTGAATTTCTATTTCTTTTTCTAGCTACTGTTTACATCTATAAATGCAATAGATGGAGGGAGGGAGTTTTTGGACCACACCTGGCAGAGCTCAAGGCTTATTCCTGGCTATGCATAAAGGGATCACTCCTGGCAGGCTCAGGGAACTTCACAGATGCTGGGGATCAAACTCTGGTTGGCCACTTGCTAGGCAACTGTCTTACATGCTGTACTAATGCTCCAGCCCTATAAATGCAATGAATTTTATATCTCTTTTGTAACCTTTATTTTATATGGGTTTTTTCTAATAGATTTTTAGTAGAAGCCAGGTGTGATTCTTGAATGCAGAGCCAGTAGTAAGCCTTGAGCACCACCAAGTGGGCCTCCACAAAAGAGCTTTTTGGTGAAGTGTTTAGGGTCTTACTGTGTATTATCACATCACCCTCAAATAGTGACAGTTTAGATTTTGGGGTTTTACTTGGAGAATCTCAGAGTCTACTCCTGACTCTGTGCTCAGGGATCACTCATCACTCCTTGCGGTGCTCAAGAGACCATATGGGGTATCCGGAATTGAACCTGGTTTGGCTACAATACAAGGCAAGTGCCTTACCTCCTGTACTAATGCTCTGGCACTCAAGCAACTGTTTTATTATACTTCTTGATATGTGTGTGTTCTTCTAATATACTTTATATTTACCTATAATAAATTAGAAAAGGCTAAAAGATTTAAAAAACTGTCTTCTCCCTCATTTTACTTCTAGAACAACATATCTTGTGTAAGTGGATGACTAATACAGAAGAGTGATGGGAGTAAGTCAAAAAATGAATAGGTTTCTCAGTCATGTGTATTACGCTGTGGATGTCTTTTCAAAAGTTCCTTTGCAATGGAAAGTGTCAGTAACTCTGCTTGCCTATAGCTGTGGCATACTGAACTTGTTCTCACTGTGACTCTCATTGAAGGTCCACACTTTTGGGGTCCACAGATGCATTTTATTGTGAACACTCTGTATAAGTGGGGCAGTAGGGATAGTGGAGATCTTCTTATTCACATGCTCTATTGTCCCATCAGACTTCGCTTATAAAGTTCATACTCAAAATAATTATTTTGAGACAGAGTTTAGCTTGAAATTAAGCATGAGAACTTCTAAATGCTGGGTTCTGTGTTACTGCACAGATGGATTCTCTATAAATCCATCTCTAGGGCATCTCTGCTTAGGACTCCACTCTTAAAACATCACATGGAATCTCCTCAAATAACAATGAACGTGGCACTTACAGAGTGATTAGAGAATGTCAGGGAGATGAGAAACTTTTCAGAGCATATGAAAGCAACATAGAACTGCTGACCTGGGACTGGATAGTTAGAGATGTTATGAACAAGACAGAAAGATGGAGGACTACCAGAATGGAAAGAGTGCCGGGGCTAAAATCTGGGAGGAGGAGAAGAAGGGGGTAGACTCACTAAAGAAAAATGTGGTCAGAGGATAGAACCATACAGAGACTTCAATAGACTAATCAATGGATGGGAGTTATGGTCTAAAAATAAGCTAGTTCCCAAGGACAGGACAAAGGAAGTTCTAATCTGTAGAGGTTTTTGAGCATTTGTGGAGCTATTATGATAGCAAGAATAGATGTTTCCCAAGAAAGGAAAGGCCAAAGAGTAGGCTAGTACTAGGGGTTCAACAAAGTGAAGCCACAAAAGGTTGACTATCCCGGGGCCATTCCTCAGAGCCTGGACATCAGGTCATATCATGGAGGCCTACATGGGGAAGCAGGTAGGACCTAGAAATAAGATAGAGGCCCATTTCTAACAGAGAAACAGATGTAGGAGGAGTCCTTGTTCAATGGTACAAAGTTTTTGTTGTAGATAATGGGAAATGTGGGGTATAAATGGTGGTGTTGGTTACACAGCATCATGTATGTATGTAATACCTCTGAAGTGTGTGCTGAAAAGTTAACATTATATTATATTTATTATACTACAATGTGCAAGTGTGTATGTGCGTGTGTGTGTATGTGTGTGTGATGCTGAAGCTCAGACCTAGGGTCTCAGATAGAAAAGCATGTTCTCTTCCACCCACCAGAGTTCCATTTCAATGCATTTTTTAACCTGGAAAGAAAAAAAGAAAAAAAACCAATCTGTGCTATGAAATTTGCCAGATGACGCATAGAGAAGTTCAAAATTGAATTAGAATTTTTGCATGTATTATTAGGAAGATGAAGTGAATGTCAAATCCCACATCACATGTCCTCAGAATCTTACTAACGATCTATTTGAGATGATACAGAATCATCTAGGAACTGTGCCTGTTTCCCTCAAGAAAATCAAAACCTCAGGAGTGGAGAGATAAAGCAGCAGATAGTTTTCTTTGCACAACACCAACCTGGCTTCAATTTCTGGCACCCTATTTGCTCCCCCTACCCCTGCCAGGAGTGATTCCTGAACACAGAGCTATGAGTAAGCCCTGAGCATCACTGGTGTGTTGCTCCCTCAGAAAAGTTTTTTAAAAAAAAGATTAAAATTGAATTCTGGAATAGCTGAGATCTGACTGGGGATGCAGGACTTAAATCTTCCTCATTCTCTTTGTAGGGAGGAAACAAAGCCACCTCTCTTTGGTGGGCTTTTTGATTGCTGGGAAAATTTCCTCCTGTGAGAAGCTGCTATTCAGGGTCCTTGGGGGGTACATGAGCAGAAGACCGAAGTGTTGGATTAAGGTGGGGATTAAATACTGCCATTTTAAAGTGAGGTCCCTCACACCAATCCCAGGCTGGTCATAGAGGACATCCCTAGAGCCACAATGTCATGATGTCATGCATTAAGTATGAACTTGCCTCCCAACATCCCCTGGAACTTGCAGAATCCCACCTTAGGCACCATGTGGGACCTAGCTTCTAATGTGGCCACAGAAAAAAGACCTGAGTTTCCATTTCATTCTCCTCTTAGGGTCAGGTTCTGGATCCTTGAGAAATTGGTGGAGTATATCCCAGGCATCCTTGACTGGGACATACAATGGAAAGACATAGGGGTGGTGAGAGGTCAATGAGATGATGGACAAGGTGAGAGAGGTTTAAGGTTGTCACTAGGAATAGAGAGAGAAAAAGGATGGGTTAATCAGATTTAAAAATTGGCACATGGGATAATAGATAAAGCAGAGAGAAGGGCACAGATATTAGGAAAATGCTGTTTAAATTATTCTTCATCATGAATTCAAAAATGTTCATGGGCACCTCACTTATGACAGACACTGAGCTTGGAATTGGGTAGCAGTGAGCATGACTGAGGCTCAAGGAACCTGAGTCTAGGTTTGAAAACAGAGCAAACCATGATGAACATTGTGAAGAGAAACTAGGTTGAAGAAGGAAAATGATTTATACCTAGAGCTAGGTCTTCTTGTTTGTAATAGACAACTGACATAATAATAATAAAATAATAAAGGCCCTCCCGTTGATCATCGATTTGCTCGAGCGGGCCCAGTAACGTCTCCATTGGAGACTTTGTTGTTACTGTGTCTGGCATATCGAATACGTCAGGAGGAGCTTGCCAGGCTCTGCCGTGCGAGCGAGATACTCTCGGTAGCTTGCCGGGCTCTCCGAGAGGGGCGGAGGAATTGAACTCGGGTTGGCCATGTTGGCTGTGTGTAAGGCAAACACTGACATAAGTGTTGCTTAAATGAGAACAAAGTTTATTTTTCATATGAAAGAAAGAAAAATCTGGGATGGCATCTCCATGGGTCATCAGAGATAAGGACTAATTTTTGTTCCTCCACATCATCAATCTTCCATTTTCACTGTTGCCTCTTAGTCAGATGACTGCCAGAACACCAACCATCATTTTGGTTACAGGCTGCAAAACAGGAGGATAAGATAAGGACCCTTTCCTATTAATCAACTCTCCTTCCTAGAAGTATCATGCAATTTCATTTCTCCAGGAGCCTCATAACTTATCTCTACCCAATTTTGAGACCCAGAACAGTGGCAATATAGCAGGCTAAAATTGAGATTCTTAAAATAAGGAAGAAAGACGTTATACTAGTTTAAACCAGATATTTATGACACAAATTATTTTCCTATATTGCCTTTCAAAATCATGAATATTGAGTATCTAATATTTGGAAATATTATACTGACTTTATAATATGATAACTTTTGATACAGACTATTTTAATAAAATGTAATTATAATAAAATGTAAAACTTATAAAGATATAATTATAAATTATATAAATCTTCCCTGTGTAACCAAGAATCAGACTACTAGGCTTGGATCTCAGCTCTGCTTCAAGCTTTATTTTTTCCCAACCCTTGCTTCTAGGTGTTTTCCTAGAAAAATTACTTTATTTATATATGCCTCAATTTCCCCATTGTAAGAGAAGAATACATAAAATACCTTCTTCAGGTGAAGTTACAAAGTGGATGGTCAATGAAGTTTAGGGGAGGATAAGACGGACTAGAAGTTAAAGTGGTGGAGAGTTTTACATACTTTGTATATCAAATATGTGTCAAGACTATTATAAGTACATTACCTGAGCCTACAACGTTTTAAAAAAAAAGAATAAACAAAACCTCCTGTTGAATAATTATTCCACACTACTCCAGCTCTATCTTTGCACTGCAAGTTTGTTGTGTATTTCCAAAGACTTACTTAATAAAGATTAAATCATTCTCATTTCAATGGAAATATACCATTAATCTCAAGCTAAATCACCACTTATCTTCCCTGTTTTATATACTAGTTATTGTATCTTTAGTCTTTCCACTTTCCCTCCACCCAAGCTTCCTTCTCTTGAAACTCCTTTGCGAGTTTTCAAGAAAAGCATGGGGACACGCAAGGGACTCAAGCATTCGGTAGCTGAGACCTGCCTCCCCAGTTCAGCCCACAACAGCGACAGACAGAAGAAGGATGAGAGAACAAAGAAACAGGGTCCAGACCCCAGGCTATTGGCAGTCAGTTTATTTCTCTTCCCCAGCTTACTCCAATCTCTCCCCTTATGGTGCAATCATAGTTGTAGTTTTGGTCCTAATCCCAGTCATCATACTTCCATCACCCTAGTCTCCTTGTAGACCTCAAAGTTCTCTCCATTATCTCCTTCCAGTCATTGTCTTCCTTCTGGTCCTCACAGACCCTCTAGTCCTCAAAGACCTCAAAGTCCCAAAGTCCCCTTCTTTCTCCTTACAGCATAGTTATATAGAAATCACGAAGGGTGAGGGTACATAGGTGGGGTTGAACATTGCTATAACAACAAACAGAGGTAAAACCACTCTTTCTGGGGAAGTTCTAGGAAATTAACTAAAGGTCAAAATCTCATCTGAGGATTTAGCACTCCAGATTACTAGGAGATCTGTTCAAGGGTGGGATTCCATCCAGGATGTGTTACTTTCTCCTTTCCACATTTAAACAATCATAAAAAATTTACTTCTTATAATATTTCTAATCATTTTGTATGAACACAGTAAGAGATATATTAAGCCTAAAGGTTGGGTCTTCCCAGGGAGAGCTCACTATATATCTCAGACTATAGTCCTCAGACCAAGTTAGACTTTCCCAACACCAGCAGGGTCCTTATTCAGTTATTTCTTTTTGGGTCATTACAGAGTTTGTTCCATGATCATGCTCTTAACTTATTATACTTATGATATTTAGCTTGTCTCCTTTCGATGCCAAGGTAGCTTACAGCTTGCCTTGGATTCATCGATCCCTTCGTCAGGACCCTGTTTTGGGGGGTGCTAAGAAGTAAGGCAAGGTTGTCGGGTAGCCGCGGAGTGAGTTCCTCTTCGCGCCCTGTGCGTGCCCTTTGCCCCACGCCATGCCCCCTCTGCCAGGCAGCCAGAGGAGACTTTGGGGAACACCTGCCTGAGTTCTTCTGGACCTCCCACCCACTTCCTTGAGGTGATGCCCTCCTCTGCAGGTTCCTAGGTCAGCGGGCTCCTGAGACTAGCTGGGAGTGTGGCCTCCAGTGTAGGGGGCGTGGCCTCCTTAAAAGTGGGCTTGGCCTTCTGTGTGGTGCACAGTTATATTTTCCACTCCCAGCTCTCTTGACTTACATCTCAGCCTTATCACCTAATTCTGTGGAAAAAGTCCTGACCGCCTCAACCACAATACGACAATAATCCACTGGCCTACTCTAATTCCACTCCACTGACCAACCAACTGGAAACAGAGATAAACAAATGGGACTATCTGAAATTAAGAAGCTTCTGCACCTCAAAAGATACAGTGACCAGAATACAAAGACAATCTACAGAATGGGAAAGAATATTCACCCAATACCCATCTGATAAGGGGTTGATATCAAGGATATACAAAGCACTGGTTGAACTCCACATGAAGAAAACATCCAACCCATCAAAAATGGGGTGATGAAATGAACAGAAACTTTCTCAAAGAAGAAATCCGAATGGCTAAAAGGCAAATGAGAAAATGCTCTACATCACTAATCATCAGGGAGATGCAGATCAAAACAACAATGAGATATTATCTCACACCACAGAGGCTGGCCCACTTCCAAAAAAACAAAAGCAACCAGTGTTGGTGCAGTTGGCGCGGTGTACGTGGGGAGAAAGGGACTCTCCTTCACTGCTGGTGGGAATACCGACTGGTTCAGCCCTTTTGGAAAACAGTACGGATGATTCTCAAAATATTATAAATTGAGCTCCCAGTTGACCCCGCAATACCATTCCTGGGAATATATCCCGGAGAGGCAAAAAATATATATATAGTTGAAATGACATTAGCACTTGTATGTTCATTGCTGCACTGTTCACATTAGCCAAAATCTGGAAAAAAATCAAGTGCCCGACAACAGATGACTGGTTAAAGAAACTTTGGTACATCTACACAATGGACTCCTATGCAGCTGTTAGAAAAGATGAAGTCATGAAATTTACATACAAGTGGTACTACATGGAATGTATATTGCTAAATGAAATGAGTCAGAAAGAAAGGGACAGATATAGAAAGATTGCATTCATCTGGGGAGTATAAAGTAACAAAATAAGAGACTAACACCCAAGAATAGTCGAGATAAGTACCAGGAGGTTCACTCCATGGCCTGAAGGCCAGCCACAAATGCTAGGGGAAAAGGCAGCTCAGACAGAGAAGGGAACACCAAGTAAAGGTGTTGGGAGGATCCTCCCGGGATGGGAGATGCATGCTGAAAGTAGACTATAGACTGAACATGACTGCAACTCAATGCCTATTTTGCAAACCACAGCACCAAAAAAGAGAGAGAGAACAAAAGGGAATGCCCTGCCATGGAGGCGGGGTGGGATGGAGGTGAGGTGGGGGGTGGGAGGGATACTGGGATCATTGGTGGTGGAGAATGGGCACTGGTGGAGTCATGGGTGTTCGATCATTGTATAACTAAAACCCAAGCACAAAAATTTGTAAGTCTACAACTGTACCTCATGGTGTTTCACTAATAAAAATTTTTTTAATAAAAGAAAAATAGAACTTGTGACCAAAGACAAATTTTAAGTTCAAAATTGAAAAAAAAATAAGTAAAGGCAACTGAGACTCAAGTCAGGTAAATATGACAGATTCCCAGGAGTAAATATTATTTGGAGTCAATTAACACCCATGTTACAAAAGCATAGCATCAACTGTCTTACTGTGTCTATACAAAAAGGCCAATGCTAAACCATGAAAATGACATAAATGAAATAGAAAAGCAATATAGGATTATTAGTGCTTGATGGAATTGGGTGTGCCTCAAGAGCACTGTTTTGGGAGTAACTCAATAAGCCTAAGGTCCCTGCAGAAGGAGCAAGGACAACCCAATGTTATCCAACACTCCTGCACCTTAAAAGAAACAGTTAACCAGAAACAGAGACAGCCCACAGAATGGGAAAAATTATTTACTTAATACCCATCAGATAATATTAAAGATATATAAGGCACAGATAGAACTTAAAAAAAATCCAATCCCATCAAAAAATGGAGAGAAGAAATGAACAGAAACTGCCTCAAAGAAAAAATACAATTGGGCAAAAGGCACAAGAAAACATGCTCTACATTGCTAATCATCAAGAAGAAAGAGGTGAGACGGTCATGGCTCCAGAAGCACAAGGACTTAAGGCAGAATCCGGCAGCTTGTGGCAGTAAAGTGAATGGACTATGTGTTGATCCACGCCACCATGCCTGCCCAGAGGGAAAAGTATGTTGCTCCCTTCTGCCTTTTTCCCTCTGGACAGCAAGATGGTGGCCGCCTCAGAGCTTTTTGGAAAGCCAGGTATGAGCCGGTCGTGATGGAAGACTGAAACCTCTTGGGAAGGGGGGGCGTTCCAGGGCGTTCCGGGCTCGTCCTTCACGCCCTACCGAGGTCATGAGTTACCCCCACTGAGCGACTCTCCAGCACAGCCATGGCTCCAGAAGCACAAGGACTTAAGGCAGAACCCAGCAGCTTGCGGCAGTAAAGTGAACGGACTATGTGTTAATCCACATCTCTAGAGTCACAGAAACCAATCTCATAATTATCTGACTCTCAGCAGAAATACTTCCAGGCTTAATAAGTAAAATATCAGAAATCCAAAATCGTGCGGCCACAATAGCAGCCGCGTGTCATCATTTAATTCTTGTAACCAGCTGTAGAAACAAATTATTTCACAATGTCTTTTCAACAGGTCTGATTTGGAGGTATAAACTCTAAATAATAATGGTGCATCTTTTGTCAAAACAATGAATTTAATCAAAGTAGATAGAGTATTAACTAGAATTCATCTGCCTCACAGGCATTGGGAGGGTTGGGAGGGGGGATATATTGGGTTTCTTCTTGGTGAAAAATAAGTACTGGTGAAGGAAAATGTGTTTGATGATTGCATGACCGAGACTTAAACCTGAAAGCTTTGTAACTTTTCCCTAGAATTCATCTGCCTCACAGGCATTGGGAGGGTTGGGAGGGGGGGTATATTGGGTTTCTTCTTGGTGAAAAATAAGTACTGGTGAAGGGAAATGTGTTTGATGATTGCATGACTGAGACTTAAACCTGAAAGCTTTGTAACTTTTCCCACAGCGATTCAATAAATAAATAAATTTTTAAAAAAGAAGAAAGAGGTGATATTAGTTTAACCAGATATTTATGGCACAAATTGTTTTCCTATGTTGCCTTTCAAAATCATGAATATTGAGTCTCTAATATTTAGAAATATAATACTGACTTTATTATAAGATGACAATGTTTGATACAGAATATTTTAAGATGCAAATCAAAACAACCATGAGATATTGTCTTATACCAAGAGACTGGCATACATCAAAAGAACAAGAGCAACAAGTCATGATGTGGATGTGGGGAGAAAGGGACTCTTCTTCACTGTTGGTGTGAATGCTGACTGGTCTAGACATTTTAGAAGACAATATGGGAAATCCTCAAAACACTAGAAATAGAGCTTCCATATGACCCAGCAATATCACTTCTGGGAAATGTACCCTGGGGACCCAAAAACATGCTGCATAAATACCATCTGCAGTTCTATGTTGATTGCAGTACTATTCACAATAGTCAGAATCTGGGAACAATCCAAGTGCCCAAACACAGATGACTTGATAAAGAAACTGTGGTATATCTGCACAACGGAATACTACATAGCCACCAGGAAAAATGAAATCATGAAATTGACTTATTAATGGATGGACATGGAGAGTATCATGCTGAGTGAAATGAGACAGAAGGACAGGGACAGACAGAATAATCACAATTATTTGTGGGATAATAAAAAATAAGCATTGGAGGAGACAAATACCCGAGGACGGTAAAACAAGGGCCAGCAAAACTGGCCCATGATGGGAAGCTTGCTATAAATCGTGCAACATAAGAGGGCAGTTAGGATAGAGAAGTCCACTTGACAGTGATAGCTAGAAATAATCAATCTGGACAAACACTGGGTGCTAAAAGTAGGTAAAGCAATAAACATGATAATCTTTTCAGTATCTGTATTACAAACCATATGCCCAAAAGGAAAGAGCAAGAGCAAAAGAGCAAGAGAGACAAGCAGACAACAGATACACACAGAGAGAGAGAGAGGGGGAGAGAGAGAGAGAGAGAGAGAGAGAGAGAGAGAGAGAGAGAGAGAGAGAAGAAAAGTGTCTGCCACAGAACCAGGTTGGAACTTTGGGGGCAGAAGCAGAAAGGAAAACTGGAGACATTGGTAGTAGGAAATGTGCACTGGTGAGGGGAAGGATGATGGAACATTATATGACTGATAGTCAATCATGAACAGCTTTGTAACTGTGTATCTCGTGGTGCTTAAATTAAAAATTAATAAAATAAAATAAGAGATATTTTAAATGCCCCCAAAAGCTTTCTCTGCACTGAATGCTCAATTCACTCAGCACTGAAGCGAATAATGTGTACACTGCTTTTACTCCAGAATTCTCAGGTCTAGTGTCACACATGGACTATTTAGGTTCCCTGGTGCCATCCACGTAATAACTTACATCCTAGAGTCTGGGTGTTGTAAGTGGCCTCTCAGTTGTCTTCTGGGTTTATGTTCAGAAAGTGCCCTTGAAAATTCCACAGGTGCTGCACATCAGTAACACACAGACCTACAAGATATGAGTGCGCACAGGTGTAATGAGGCTTCCAGAGTGCTTTTCCTTTTCCAATTAGCTTGGATATGCTTTAAGAAAAAGACTGGGTCACAATTAACATCTCTTCCCCCCCCCAATATTAGTTACATAACCACAATTTTTCTTTTTTGTCTTTTCTTCTTTTTTGATGAATCACCATGAGGTGCAGTTACAGACTTACAAACTTTCGTGATTACATTTAGTCATACATTGATAGAGTACCCATCCCTCCACCAGTGCCCATTCTCCACCACCAATGTTCCTAGTATCCCTCCCACCATCCCAACCCCACCCACCCCTTCCGCCTCTGTGGCAGGCTCATTCCTTTTTACTCTCTCTCTCTCCTTTTGGGTGCTATGGTTTGTGATACAGGTAGTAAGTGGCCATCATGTTCGGTCTATAGTCTACTTTCAGTACACATCCCCCATCCCGGGCAAGCCCATCAAGCCTCCTTTACTTAGTGATCCCTTCTCTGTCTGAGCTGCCCTTTCCCCCACAATGTGAGGTGAGCTTTCAAGTCGTGGGGTAATCTTCCTTATCCTTATCTCTACTATCCGTAGGTATTAGTCTACCATTATGTTACTTTATATTCCACAAATGAGTTCAGTCCATCTATGCCTGTCCCTCTCTTTCTGACCCATTTCACTTAATATGATACTCTCCATTTCTATACACTTATATGCAGATTTCATGACTTCATCTTTTCTAACAGCTGCACAGTATTCCATTGTCATACCCATGATTTTTCTTAAAGATACAGTTAATTTTTCTGCAGGTACAAATCTAGGTACAAGCTAGAATTTTTTTAAATCTTGGTACTTTCTCCCTTTTGACATCATGTAATATCAACTGAACAGAAAGTATAGTGCTCAGATAAATGCATCCAGCAAATAAGAAAGTGGGGATAATGACAAGATGCCCATCCATCTACATCTTTCCTCATCTCTTCTTGGCCATCAGATCACCAGATGTCTCTGGACTTGGTTGTCTCCATCACTTGACCTCCTCAACTCCATCTCATGTCATTTCAGTCAACTTTCCATTTTTTAATAAGACAATATGTTACAATTTTTGTTAGAAACTTTTTTCATTTATTTATATCTGTTGTGTAATGAATTGAATAGCTCTTTTAAAATTTATCATGATTACTCATTTGTTTTATGGCTAATGCTCTAGTAACAATATTGCATAAGCTTTAAAAAGCTTCTAAAGAAGTCTTTCCCAATCCTAGTTTTAAATGTAGCAAAAAGTTCTATTGTTTTAGAACCCATAATGATTAAAAATAAGACAACGATGAAAAAACCCTGTAAAAATACTAGTACTGAGTGGCAGTTACCCATATTAATAAGGGGGGAAATGAATTAGTGAGTCCTATTTTTATTCCCTACTTCAACCCCTCGGCAAATCACAAGATTTTAGGAAAAGGGAATTTGAAGTAATTGCTCATAAAGTAGTGACTTAAGGTGGTTAAATAAACTAAATATTTCAAATGTATAAAAATTTCTTGTTTATCTTGTTATAATAAGTTCGAAATATACCACTGTTAATGAAATGATGAACAGATTTCAATGGAGAAACTGTTCCCTAATTTCAGTATTTTATATACAAGATTCTTACCTTTTTCTGAAATGCCGATGCCTTGGAATCCCCAGACACTTAGATAAGTAGGTAGCATGAAATTCACCTGATGCCTACAACAAAAAGTATTTCACAGTTGTCATACACAAGTGAACTTTACTTAACTTGAATCCAACTTGACACCATCTTTAATTAAACAGAATCTTTCTGTTTTCCCAGACAGAATTTTGAAACAACAAAAAAGAAAAGAAATCAGTGGCCGTTGGTGGGAATGAATTAAGGAAAAAGGAAGGGAGCTTACCACTGTGGAAGAGGACGGGGAAAATACAAGGGAGTGGCACTATGATGATGGTGGAAGGAAGCGGAGGGTTTGGCACTGGAATGTTTTATTCAGGAAATCCTACCATGAACAGTATTGTAAATCACAGTGCCTAAAATAAAATTTTAAAAAAAGAAGAAGAAAGAGCAGGACCTCTAACAGATTCAGAATAATTGTCTATACATCTGTGAGGGGCTGGAGCAGTAGCACAGCAGGTAGGGCATTTGCCTTGCACGTGTCCAACCCAGATTCGATTCTTCCCCCCTTCTTGGAGAGCCCAGCAAGCTACCAAGAGTATTCTGCCTGTACGACAGAGCCTGGCAAAGCTCCCGTGGTGTATTCAATATGCCAAAAATAGTAACAACAAGTCTCACAATAGAGTCGTTACTGGTACCCGCTCAAGCAAATCGATGAACAACTGGACAACAGTGCTACGGTGCTACATCTGTGAGATTTAGGCATAACATGTAATATTTGTGTAGATCTAGTTTTGGTTATGTGCTGATAGACTTGATTTGCTACAGACTGAATGTCTATCCTTCACCCAAATTAATACCGAAAATCTAACCCCAAAGGTGATAGTAGTTGGAAGTAAGATCTTAAAAGATAATTGAGGATTTAGACTATAGCAGTAGAATTGATGTACTTATGAAAAAAGGACATCAAACATTTGCTCATCTCTTTTGTCATGAGAGATTATAGTGAAAGTTTGTGGACCAGAAAGGTGGTTCTCACCACATACTAGTTTGCTAGTGCTTTTATCTTGGGCTTCCCTCTTTCAAAACTGTGAGAAAGTGAACACTATCCTTCTATATTATTGCATGCAGCAGCTCTGTTTGACAGTCTAAGACACAGTTTAACTTACAACTCAAATTTCTATGATTTGGTTTGATTGTCATGCCCTCACAGTTTGAAAGAACTGTGATATGAATCATCAAATAAAAATAAATTACATTCACTGAACTCAAAAAAGCAAAGGGAAAGGTACGAACAAGGCTAAGACAAAAGGAATTTCAGATCACCAAAGATCAATCATATTCCCTAAATATTTTACATTTACAAATCACTGTTCTAAGATTTGTAGTCAGTGTAGGAATAAATCACAAAGGATTTGCCTTCATGAAATTTATTCTAAAACAGGAGAGAAATGGGAAATGTTTTTCACAAGGAGGTAATAAATACTTTAGTAAAGCACATACAACTTCGGTGTAAGTGCAGAAAAGTGAGTAATAAACTACTGAAAGCCTATTTTTCAGACAACTCAGTCTCTATATGGATTACAAAAGGAATCTAACATGAAATGGGTTTTAAAGAGCATTTCTAGTAAAATATACGAAGGAGCCCTCTTTTTTTTTAAAAAAAAAAAAGCTATTTCTGGAGCATATATACACAGTAGGGAAGAGAGGTAGGGATTGTGGAGGAGGTGCTAGAGATACAAGAACTTTTGGAGAGAACATCATACACACATAACTTTTGCTGAACAGATCATGGAGAAGTGCTTAGGATGAGGAAGGAACCTGATATAGGGTTGTGTTATTTTAATATAATCACCGGGGCAGCTGTTTGGAGACTTAATAGGAAAAGAAAAAAGGATAGCATTAGAGTCAAGGAGAGGAAAACATCTCTTGTGACATCCAGCAAACGTGTAACTAAACAAAAATGAATCACTTTCTAAATCTCTAGATTCACTACTTTATATTGTGTGTTTCTTGTGATAATATTGTCTCCTCTTGTTATATGGATAACAAGAGTGGAAAAAATACCTAAAGGGATAGTATTCATTCTTAGATATATTTAGATATAAAATAAGATATATTTAGATATATATAACTTAGATATATTTTTATAAAACAATTCCTAGGAAGAACAAAATCACTATATATTACTATATAGAAATGAGAAGCCAAGATCCATCACAATTTGCAAGCTAGATAAATAAGTGCAAGGTAAGTGAAATGGCATTATATGCTGATAGTTTTCCAATAAATCCTGCTACTAACACAGCAAAACACCCACCCAACAACACATTAAACTAGATCAATGTAAATAATATCCTTAATTATAAAAGTAAATAACAGAATACTTAGAAATAATTGTAATATTTTTTATATTTTCTAAGTAAAAGATAAAGCAAAAGTCTTAGAATACCTTTGGAAAACATGATGCACATTCCATAACAAGTTTTCTGATATAAATTCTTTGCGTACCTTCATTGTTTCTGAATTAGAAATATAAAGTAGATTAAAATGATTTTAATATATAACAGGATTATATTAAACACAAACAAATATATTTTAGAGCTATAATAAAGCATGATGGTTTAATTTTAATAAAATATTTAATATATTTGAACATACAGGGCTGGAGAGATAATACAATAGGAAAGATGGTTGCTTTGCATGCAACCCATCCTAGTTTGATCCCCTGCATCCTATAGGTCCTATGAGCACCACCAGGAGTGATTACAGTGCATAGCCAGGAGTAACCCCTGAGCATCACTGGGTGTGGCCCCCCTCAAAAAATTGAACACATAATGCTCCTATAATATAATAGGAAAAAGTCTTGATTTAAGATGCCTAAAATACAATCAGTGTAAAAAATAATATGCATTATGCTAATATCTCATAGATATCAAAGAAAACGGATGAGAACGCTATTCGGGTCTCTCAAAGAGGAATCGAAAGAACTATGCTTGGAATATCATGATTCACTCAAATGAGAGATAGAATCCGGAGTTCTGATCTCCGTCAACGCTCAAGAATCAGGGATGCTGTCTCATTTGCCAAGGCATCAAAAATCAGATGGGCTGGACACGTAATGAGGTTTACAGACAACCGCTGGACTAGAGCCATTACTGACTGGATTCCACCGGACATCAAAAGATAGCATGGATGCCCACCTACAAGATGGTCAGACTTCTTCGTCAAGACCCTGAATGATCGGTTTGAGGCTCTGCATGGTCCTAGAACAAACAGATGCCATTGGGCTACGCTAGCACGCAACAGGGATGAATGGAGACGTTACTGGCACCCGCTTGAGTAAATCGATGAATAACAGGGGATCAAGTGATCAAGTGATCAAAGAAAATATAAACATGGATTAAGATGTTAATGTAAATTTTATATAGTCAAAGAAATGTCTTTAATGAATATAACAATTACAAGCAATGGCAGTATATTGAAAAGAAAGTAAATATGGCATCAAACATTTTAATCTTATTTTTCACATTGCTTAACACAGAATTGCTTTATATTTTTATTTTATAATAAAAACTGGTGTAAAATTTTAACTGAAAAGTAAAGAATAATGGCGTGCAGAAGCAAGTCAACAAAATACAAGGAAGGATATAAAGAATACGAAAGTATCATTACATGGATAACAACAAATACCCAATTAAAGGAGGTTTTTGAATAGTGATTCCAAAAAAATAAATGTTCATAGACAATGATCAATTTATCATTGAAATCAAGAACTGTCTTTTTTTAAGAACACATAAAATCAACACACCCTTAGAGGTATCATGAAGAAAAACAACAACAACAACAACCAAAAAAAGGCAAGGAAAATCCAACTAAATAGACTCAGAAATAAAAGGACATAATATAGAACAGATAGCATAGAAATGTAAAGTATCCCAAGAGACTCATAAACAAGTTTACCTCACTAAGTTAGAGAACCCAGTAGTCAGATGAATTCTTAGAATCATAGCAAAGGCCACGTATGACAGACCCACATATAATACCATATTCAGTGATAAAAAAGAAAAACTTTTTTTCCCTTCTACAATCAGGTGTAAGACAAGGCCATCCACTGTTAGCAATACCTTACTACAGAACTTAGGCAAGAGAGAGATATAAAGACACACAAATTGAATTAAATACATTATTTATAGTTGATACAACAATATACATAGAAATCCTAAATAGAGACTTCCTCAAAAACTAGTAGAAATAATAAACAAATAATAGGTAATTGGTAATATATACAATCAATATGCAAAAATGTTACACTTCTATATGCAAAAGATGAACTAGTAAAGTGAAATCAAGAAAACAATACTATTTCAAATTGCATCAAATAGACTTAAGGAACTCAATAAAATATCAAAGTGGCCAAGCCCACATAGTTTGTGTGTGTAGGACCCTAGTTTGATCCTGGTACTACATTGTCACCCAAGCACCACCTGGTGTAGCCCCAAGTAATTCTCAAACACCACTGGGATGATCTTGGTGGTCCCAAGTCTCACAGATGCTCAGTACTGCATCCTTGGGTCCTATCATTAAACCTTACAGTGGGGGGCTGGAGTGATAACACAGCGTGTAGGGCATTTGCCTTGCACGTGGCCGACCTGGGTTCAATTCCCAGCATCCTATATGGTCCACCAGCACCGCCAGGAGTAATTCCTGAGTGCAGAGTCAGCAGTCACCCCTGAGCTTTGCAAAGTGTGGTCTAAACCTCCCTATACATCACCCCTCCTTACCCCAAAAATTATATGGATTGAATGCAATTCCCATAAAAATTCTGATGACATTCCTCAAGGAAATATAACAAACATTCCTCAGATTGGTATGAAACCACAAATGATGCCAAACAGACAAAGCAATTGAGGCATTATGGTTCCCAGCTTTAAATTATACTACAATAGTAATCTAAAGTGGTGTGATATTGTAATAAAAAGATGCACATAATAAAGGAATAGAATTGAGAACATAGAAATAAATCTTCACATACATAAACTGTTAATTTATGACAAGAGAACAAAGACAGTTAAATGGAAAAAAATTTCATTTAACAAATAGCAGATGAGACCATCCATGGTGGAGCAGGTCTAGTAAACCATTGTAAGGATATTAGAACTTAGGTAATGAACATAATATGGTAACATTATTAACTCCTAAAACATAAACATTATGAATAATTTTCTAAATAAGCTACATATGTGTAAATATATACCTGTACATTCTAATGCCTTGTCTCTATAAATGACATCTGTTTGAGAATAGGGACTAAGCAGATAATGATTAGGGATTGAGAAATGAGATCAGCCTAAATATACTAGGGTGTGACCTAAACAACAAAGTGTCCCTATAACATTAAGATATCAAGTGTCCTAAGAAAAAGGACAAGACACAAAAACACAGGACATTACAGTCCTATAAAAATAGAAGCAGGGACTGCAATGATGATTCCACAACCGATGAGAGTTAGGAGGCAGAGGGAAGGAAATACTTAAACTTAGAGCTTAAATTAAGGAAATCAAGACTATAAAACAATTATCAACCAAAAAAATATGATTCTTTGAAAGACTTAGCAAGTTTAACAAGCCATTAACAAAACTCACAAAGAAAAAGAGAACAAACCAATTAAGCTAAATCAAAATGTAAAGGGACATGGCACAACAGAGACCACATAAATTCAAAAGATCACCAGGGATTACTATGAAAATCTTTATGTGACAAAACTGCTGAACCTAGAAGAAATGGATGCATTTCCGCACTTATTCTTAGCCAAAAGACTGAGAAATGATAGAAATAAATATGTTTCTGGATTTCTATAACTTTCCAAGATTGAATCAAGAGAAAAAGAGCACTTGAACAGGTTATTCACTATCATAGAGATCAAAATGGTAATCAAAACTCTCTCCAAGACAAACACCCAGATCCAAATGGATTTACTAATTAGTTCTTTCAAACCTTTAAAGAAGACCTACCCCCCAATCCTTTCTAGGCTGTTTCAGAAGTTGAAGAACAGAAATCCTCCCAAATAGTTTCTCTGAGGCAAACATTACCATTTCCAAAAGCAGACAGACATGACAAAAAGGAAAACTATATACATATATATACATATATCTGTGTATAAGATAGAGCATGGATGAAAAGATTCTCAACAAACCATTAGCAAGTCATATCCAATGATCCATCCTAAAGCTTATACACATTGTCAAGTAGGGTTCATCCTTCTATTGCAAGGATGGCTTAATATACACAAATCAATCAATGTAATATACCATTTTAACACAAGAAAAAGTAAAAATTATGTTATCATATCAGTAGATGCAAAAAAAGCATTTGACAAAATCCAACAACCATTCACGATTTTTAAAAAATTCAGTAAAATGGGGGCTGAAGGAATTTTCCTCAATATAGATAAAGCCATTTACCACAACCCCCAATAAACATCATGCTCAATGATGAAAAACTGAGACTTCATTCTAAAATTAAGCATGAAACAAGGTTACTCACTCTCTCCAGCACTATTTAGTATGGTATAGAAAGTCCTTGTCAGAGCAATTAGGCCAAAAACAGATACCAAGAGCATCCAGAGAGGAAAAGAGGAAGTTAAACGCTCACGCTTTATTGTTTGGCTTTTGGATTTTGGTGGGTGGGGGCACACCCAGATCTACATTTGGGATTTCCTGGTGGAGCTTGAAGAACCTTATGTGGTACTGGGGTTCGATCAAACCCTGATTGTCTGCAAGCAATGCAAACACCCTAGTTATACTATCTCTCTGGTCCCTAAATTGTAACTTTTTGCAGATGACATTATAGCATACTTAAAAAATCCTAAAGTCTCCACAAACAAGGCTCCTAGAAAAAATAGACTTGTACAGTAAAGTGGCAGGCTACAAAATCAATGCACAGAAGTCCATCATTGTATCACTGTATCACTGTCAGTCATCCCATTGTTCATTGATTTGCTCAAGTGGGCTCCAGTAGCGTCTCCATTCATCTCAGCCAGAGATTTTAGTAGTCTCTCCTTACTCGTCCTTGCCAACACTGCCATACTGAAGGCTCTTTCAGGGTCATGGCAATGAGACCTGTTACTGTTTTTGGTATGTCGAATATGCCACAGGTAGTTTGCCAGGGTCTGCCATGACTAGGAAGAACTGCCATAGAAGTCCATAGCTTTACTATATGCTAGCAATATAAGAGAAGAGAGAAAAATTAACAACCAAACCATTCATAATTTTGCCTAAGAAAACCAAGTACCTGGGAATCAGCTTAACAAATAAGGTGAAAGATTTATACAACAAAAACTACGAAGCACTACTGAGAGAAATTTAAAAAAGGACATAAGGAATTGAAAACACATTCCCTATTACATCGATTGTTAGGGTTAATACTGTGAAAATGACAATCTTGTCGAAAGCATTATAAAAATTCAGTGAAGTCCCTATAAAAATACCCTGACAAGTTTTAAGCTCATAGATCAAAGAAT